TCACGCTGATAACGAAAATGTAGGTGAGAGGGTTCAAGAATATGATACGAGTGTACCATGGATCATACCTATGACAGGTAAATGCCATAAGAGGGTGCTGTCAACGTTACTTATGCATGGTAGTGGGCGGGTTGAGCTGCAACAAGCAGTATTCGGCCCGCGCGACATAAAATTGAGTTTTCCAAATCCCGCTATGAACTAGTCAGTTGCTCAGTCATGTTCAAGACATTATTTGTTAGGTAGGTCATCGCATGTGGATGATATAAACCGAACAGGCTGCCTGCGTCAATGCATTGACCGTCGGAATCGAGTAAAAGCCAAAAGATGACTATGAAGGTGGCTGCCAGAATCAGGTGATTCGACGATGATAGTATTAACCTATTAGGTTTTGCTTGATCGCGGCCTTTGATCTTCGGGGTATGAATTGAGTCTAAGCAACTATTCTCCGGGAACATGCATGTAAAGGAACCCAATACCTTTTTCTCTGGGAGGGGAACATCCGACATTAACTCAAATAACAGAATCAGCTCTTGGAGAGAGTTCTACTCAAGCAACCCAGACGAAGCTTTTGCCTTTTGACTACAAAGCGCGCTGAAGATGTGGTTCATTGAGTTCAGAGGAAGCAGCAGTACCCTGATACCGCGTCAACATGGGATCTCTTGGCACATCACCCACGTGCGAGATGTAACGGTCTCTGGTCCAAACACATCGGGATTTCGGTTTTAAGCACAAGCTCGGAGTCAAACTTGAGGTAGCACCCAATAGGATCGCTCACGATGAATGTTTCTGCGTGGTTGGATGTGTGTATACGTGACTCGGACAAAGTTTGTCCATGCCCTCCCCTGCCCCTGACGTACCTATGTCGATAGTGAAGGTGTAGGATCCACTTGGGAATCATGGAACTGATGCCCTCGCGAACGGAGGAGACTAGATTGTGTGTTTCGCTCCATCAGTACGACAGAAACAAAAAGATCACCGGGCCGTAGCAACGCAACTATCGCCATCTCTATAAGTTGAATTGCTTCGCTGGCCACAACTGTCAGCTTGAACCCACACTTCAGAAATTCTGATCCATTAACGCTAGCCCACGGCGGTCATTATGTCAAAGTTCAGAAAGTGTGTGGAATGACGTTAGGATCGGCGTCCGCGTTAACAATCTTTATCGGCTGAGACCGACTTCAAACGAGTAAGGAAGGCGATGAGCCTGACAATTGATGAATACGAGCGTAATAGAAAGGGGCGCTGCTAAAGCTCTAATGTAACATCGTACTTTACTCACTAATTGTTTGAATCGTGCTTGTCGGGAGAATCGTACGTATGAGATCAGATAAAAGCAGAACGTCCCTCTTCACTCTATAGGGAGTTGGGATCTTTTGCCTTGCAACTTTGTTGGAGTCATCTGGCAGAGACGAAATATCACGGAAAGACAACAAGCGGGAGGAGCATGGTAAGACTTGAAAAGAGAAGCCCGAACAGTCGAAAGCTATGAACTCAAGGCGTATTGACCTATTGACGAGTGGGTGACTGTGACTTGAATATTGCTTCAATGTTTGGGTTAGCCGGTATGCTGATTGGGTATAAACTTGCATCGTCAACGGCAAGATAACGCGAGTTGAGGGACGTTTTCTACACCATCGAAGTTATGCATATCAAAGGACTAATGCAGAGGCCAGTCGAAGTTTCATCGCTCTTCACGTTAAGCTCGATGGGCGGAGGACATGTCGACAAGATAGCATCCATAGCAAGAATATTGTATGAATGATGGCTACAGCACTTAACAGTTCTCAAGCCCATTATCTAGCATCAATTCCCAAAATACAGTTTGCTTCTTGTAGGTCATGGAAGCTCACGGAACAAACGCTTATGATGCGAAATACGAGGAGTAGAGGGTTTGAATATCGCCTTTCACTTGACAATAAGGATATGAGACCGTGAAGCATCTCAACAGTGATGCTGAACTTTTGGAGATATTATTTGAATATACAAAAAATTGAAGATATTCTAATCACATTGAAATGAAATAAGCTTGTCTAGATTTGGTCCTAACCGTCTCGTCCTTAAGGAGCGACATGGCTCAACCAAGCGCTGCTAAGATCGGTGTAGAAACTTGCACCTCTCACCTTTGTTGGTGCTCCAGGTGTGGTTACGTTGCAGTTCTGGATCCAATTACCTTGGTTCTCAAGCTTCGTGGCGACGTATTGCTTGTAATCCTCCAGCCGACAAGAAGAACCAGGACCGCTGCTGCAAGTAGGTATCGGGTAGACAGCATCATTGAGACGAATGCGAATATATGTCGCATTCCAGGTGTCTTGGATTGGGGGCGATGGCTGCACGCAGGTTGATCTTCTGTTCGTTGGATTCCGGCGGGCAACATTGGTGAAGTTGCCATGTGTAGCGTTTCTAGCCCCGGCACAGTTCAATCTCTCAAATGCAATAGTTCCCCGCATTGTTGTGAAGCGAGAGCTGACGAATTGACGGCCATCGTCCTTTTGCGTACTTGAAAGAGGCTGCTGCTTGTCGAATACCCCTGAGGCGGCCACTAACTGGTTGAGCTGTCCATCGTTGAGGAAGGAGACGAGAAGCTTTGGTAAATTGAAAGTGGTCCCATCTTTGCGTCTGCCGGTGACCGAAGGCCCCTGAACAAATATGTCCATCAATGCGTTTAGGTAGGGGGTCATCATGGTCTGAGGCACATCGGTACCAAGGCCGACTCCGTAGTAGTAGCGAAGGTCTTGGAAGTACTCGTACTGGAGGTATTCTTCGTCCGAAAAGATATCACACCAAGGTGAGAGGCGGCCGGTGATCTGACTTTCGAAACCACAAAGATAAGGTATTTGCGACACATCACTTTGCGTAAGTGTGAGGTTTCCATCGATGAGTGCTTGCAGGCGGGTTAGGATTGGAGGAATGTAGACGTTGTTCCACGCATTCACGTAGTCGCCTCCCTCCGTATCCTTGAAAGCTGGGCACATATCAGAAGGCGCCAATGAGTCGCCAATGCCAGCGGCAAAGCCTCGAGATGTCACGGACACGATATCACCGAGCAAGGTGGCATTGGTTCCCAAGAAACCGCGAACAAACAACTTGGCAGTCTGTAGGACTCGAGAGTAGTTGTTAGCCCAGACCATGAAGTCTTCGCCTTCAGTGTAGAGGCCCGGATATCTAACTCGATTAGCACAGGTGTTCTGTTGGGTTTGGATGCTATTGAGCAGAACTCACCTGGTTCGCAAGGTGTATCCAAGATCGTGAGCCTCTTTGTAGCCCGTTGGACTCAAGTTAGCGATTTGAGAGGATGGATTAGTTAGCGCTGTTTGCCACCGCGGCAAAAAGCTCAAGCTGCCAGAGGCAGTATAGTTTCCAGCATGAAACTACACAATCAAGTTTCAGCTATAAATGAATATGCTTTAGATGGCAGACAAAGATATTACTAACTCGTTCCTGCATTGAGACCCATCCATTGTAAGCGCCAGTATCTGGGTATCTCGACCCATGCCGAGAAACATACGCCGCTTGATCAACGTAACAATTCTCCGGAATTTCGGATGAGATCTCGTTGACGTTGGGTCCTAATAAGCGATCGAAAGTAAGCGGCGCTGAAGCATCGAGTCGAAGGGCAAATGGATATATGTACCTGCGAACCAAGGACCGTTTGCGCCCAAGTGTTCAAGAGGGTGCTCAGCAGATTCACTGGCCGGTAAATTGATGTCTTGAATTGGCGCAAGGAGTCTCGAACTTCCCTCAACCAGGATTGCCGTAAGGCATACCAAGCCAAGCTTGATGGGTGCCATTGTAGTCCCTTTTCTGTGCCGTACAACAAGAGATGTTTGCATTCGACATAAGCTGCCAATTCCTTGTTATATACAATCATAATTGGCCATCGGCCCGGTCATTACCGGCCACGTGCTCTTATCATGTTGTTTACCTTCATTCGTCTTGCGTGGGCCATTGTGCTCATTTCAGCAGGGTGTCATTGGCACCGTCAGGCACGTGATGAATGCATCAATGTGATTTGACAATCAGCTTGAAGTTGTGGGGAGCAAACGGGGATGGAATCCCAGAAAAGACGCTTTCTCCGTACGTACTTCCACTAGCGTTGCCGACCGCCCTTACCCCAGCCCCCGGGCCAGTTCCCGAAGCGGCGGAGACATTACGACAAACAGTCAAGAGACGGTATGACAACAGAAAGTTGCTTAAAACGTGGTTTCTTTGCGGAATTGGAAAACGTTGATACCCAATCACGACGACTCCGCAGGATCACACTCAAGAGCAGGTACTAAAGGACGAATGAACGACTAATAACTTGAAGGGGACATATGGTCACGTAGTCTATCTAATGGTTGACTAATAATCTGGATGGCATCGAAATGCTGATGCGGTAGTGTTGAAGAAATATGAACATTCGGAAAGATGAGAGACGGAAAGGAGATGAAAACCCAGGAGTGACGCCAAGTTCAGCCTCACAAGCATCCGCCGGCTGAGACATTTGCCCGACCGTTATTGATAAGTCGTCAACATTTCGTTAGAGACTGAAATCTATCCTCAAGCATGATTAACAGAAACAGATCTAGATTTGAAGTGTCAATGCATTTCAGGAAACAGGAAAAGTTGGGCCAGAAATTATTGGCATCGACCTATCGGGTCACATGTAACCGAATCAAGTCACAGGGTTCTCTCAACACTGATGAGTTGTTTCTTACAGACTTGATTACATACTCATCACTGAATCACGCGAAACGATTCGCGGTTTGAACGATCTGGAGCTTCGCAAAAATAGCCGATGGCAACCCACTATATTGCTAGGCGGGTTACATGATAAATGTTACGAAGAAATTTCTAGTACTTGAGCTCGAACACTAAGATGCTTCTAGGAAGATTACTATCTATAGTTTGTAAGAGCTACGTAACCAAAAATCTCGGAAGCACTTGTACTGGAGAGTTCATGGTTCCACGAATCAATTGATTAAATCCAACATTGTGTCCTTGCTTCAGCTCGCCCCTCCCTAGGTATGGTAAGTGGGTATATCCACTACACCATTAGCAACGTAGTTGTAGCAATCCCCAGAGCAGCCGACATTTCCCCCGTTCGTGAGAAGAAGTTTAGGGTTTCCGTTTGAGGGGCCAGACTCAGGGGTGGCGATGATCCGAAGTTCTCTGGAGTAAGCTGACCACTGCCCGACGTTGACTACCTTCCAACCGTTTGGATCGACGGCATCGCTGTTCACAAACACCTCCTCACGGCTACTTCCGTTGGCGATGAAAACACCACTCGTGCCATTTGTCCCAGGCTCCGTAGTCCAGATGACGAACGGGCTCCCGTTAGGATTCAGCTGGCCGTCACCAGGAATAATGGGCTGAAGTTCGGCAGAGCCAAAGTTCAGGGGAGAGTCGGAGACCTTGTAGTAGACTGGACATCCGCCAGCGATAGGGCCGCCACAGTATTCAAAAGTCATGACATACTTTTGTGAGATGGGGCTATATGCCACTGTAGCCATGCCGGGCCGCACTCCTGCATCTGCCTGGGCGACGTCATCGACTTCATCGCTCCATTGACGCAGGTCTTTGGTTGTTTTGTGAGAAAGCTTTTGGTTGTGATCGGGATCCACTTGAGTGGAATAATAACACACAAGCTCTCCTTCATGCATCAGCAAGAAAGGCTCCCAGACTGCCTTGTCCCCCCGGGCGATTGTCTCCGGACCAGGGCCGTAGACTATATGGCTGACAAATGCCCACGCCTTTCCTTGATCGGTGCTGGCATACAAATCAATGTACGCCTGTGAGAGGTTACGTGGCGTAGAGACACCGGCCAGGAGAATGGTGCCTTGCGGAAACCCCCCCAATGGCTGTGGAAGCTCGTAGAGGAATGGCTGATACCAGTTTCCCCAGCCATTGACCTGATCGTCGACTCTGGAGAAAGCAGTGAACGACGCTCCACCATCTTCTGACTTGTAGATGGGAAAGTAAGTCAAAGTTGCCGCGGGGTCATAGTCTTCCCAAGACAGAAGAAGAGACTGGTCAGGCAGCTGGAGAGTTCGGCCGTATAGAGTTCTCCAGCTAGTCGCGGTCTGCTCTGGATAGAACACGCCATTGTTGTTGAAATTGCTCCAAGGCTTAGGTACGGCAGTGTTCGATATCTGGGCTGCCAAGCTCGCAGTGGCTAAAACTGCAATAACAGAAGCCTGGATGATAGTGAACCCCATCATTAGAGAGGAAGGTAGGACGATTCTTGCGATGAACAAAAAATATTGGGTCGCGATTTAAGTTGCTGACAAAATTGCTGGAATGGTGCTGGGCAGTGAGGTCAACTTTGGGAAATACCTTGAGTCTATTATATAGTCGGCCTCATCATTGTCATGTTGCCGTACTCCGGATCCATGACTACGGAGGCTCCTATTGTGGAGGATCTAGGGTCGTGGTCACCTGTAGAAGGAGATACGCCCATTGTTAGAATTACAGGCAACTTGCAGTTGGAGAACGAAACCATTTTGCAGTTCGCGGCGTAAGCACCAATCAGCCCAAGTGTTTTCCGATGCTTAGGCCCCATTCCTCGTATCTAGACAAAACGCTTGGGCCTGTTAGTTTAAGCCGCTGAAGATCGACAGCGGGGAAACAAGTTCCTACATACATCGCCTGCATTAGCCCCTCGGTCATAGTAGTAGCGAAACATATTAACATGCCAATCAATCAAAACAGCGCATTTCCGATGCCTGTGTCGTTGAAATATTTGGCTCGTCGCGATCCAATCACAAAATATTTGTTTTCGGATCAATGCGGGCACCATGCAACATCTTCGTTAATCATCATCATGCGAGCCATTGTGCCACCTCAGGTGAGTAAACCTCGCGGTCATACAACGCGTGTGAACGATGCAAGCTTCTGTGCCACAATCCTCGTAATGATGGTTTGGATCCACTCTCAACCACTGAGGGGTTTGAGATTATCCTGGACGAGTTTGAGAGGTATCTCCACGACCTCATAAGCTTGTAGTTGTCTTCTTTTGGGAGAGAACTCTCAGAATGCCCTCGCCTCGGATGTTCAAACAGTATGTTGCCGGCGTGAGCATGTGAGATGTATATTACCAGAAACAGCAACGTTAAATAGCAAGTAGCAGCCATGCGTACTCACTATGATGGCTTGATACACAAAAGTGGCCTCGAACTGCATATTGACTATTTCCAACATAAGTCTCTAGTACATTGATACTCTAGGTTTCCATTATCGTTTCCGTAGGATATGGGCATGAATTACTTCACAAAAGTCGATGCCGATAAGAGAAGACAAATTAGCCAAATATGTGTACATTGTAAGAATGGATCTTAAAGTCTCTCTGCTGGCTTGTATAGTGGAATCCAACGAACAAGGGCTGGAGACTTCTTTCGCGCAATATATGAGCTTTGAGGCGAAGATGAAACAAGGTCAAGTATGTAGAAATTGATTCTGGAAACCGCCTGAAGTGTTTTATAAGCCAAAAGAATGATGTAGTTTGCATGTAATCGCCGCGTAAAATCTTGAATAATGGCGATACTGCTGCAGCTACAAACCCAAAAAGCAGGAAGCAATCATTCCCTTACTTCCCTGGAGGCAATCTCACGGGTGCATTTGCTTCTCTAGCCGCTGTTACAATGTATAGCGTATTAACTATCACGGCCTTGAGGTTCCCGCGCTGAACAAAACCGCGATTCCGCGACACCATTCACCGAGTAGCCAGCCAAATTCATGGGATCATGCAGGTAGGTACAGGTAGTCACGTCACTAAGCTGCCAACGGCTGGAATGCTCAATTGTGGCGGGGGAGCGATCAGTAGTGCATTATCCGACGTCGTTGAGAAGATTGGGATTAGCTCTTTCATAACTGCACATCCGAGCGGCTAGATGCGGAGATGCTGCAAATATCAGACCTGTCGGCTACGGGCCACCTTAAAGTAAGCAGCTTTTGTTTCGGCTAGGCGGGGTCAGCATCGCTCATGGCCACCATCGGCTAAGGTCCCCTAGATAAGCCGCATGTGAACTTGGTGGCTTAAGTGCTTGGGTAGATGGGAAGGTAGTCGTATCCGCTCTGAGCCCGCACTGTGTCGTAGACCCCAACTTTGGCTGTAGTCGGCCAGCTCTCCAAAAGTACATATCCGCTGCACACATACCTAGTAGTTCCGAAAGGACAGGCGATAGATCTTCACTATGACTGTTGTACCCAAGGTATAGGCCTAATGCTATCTATTCCGATGCGGGCGGTGGGATGAAACCGAGCGGCCCGGTACGCGACAGTGCGCCTTGCTCGAAGCCGTCGTCTTATGCTCCGGATCAAGAGGGCCATCTATCTTTGTGCCTATGGTCGACTCGAGATTTAAACACTCGCCGAACCCCAAGAATCTATCAGATGCGGAAGTATCTTAATTCCTTTGCAACTTTGACTACCTTCGCTTGATTCATCTCCCTCAGCTCCTCGTCACACAAGTAGCCCGACTGTGCTCTCATCAGCTCAACAACTTGTAACCCCGCAAATCCGCCATTATGCTCGGAAAAATTGCTCTCGAGGAGGCCTTTGCCCTCCCACGGTTTCAAGAGAAAACACGTTGGTGGGCAGGACTCTTTGCCATCGACCCTGAGAAGCACGCAGCTGAAATCTCCGATGTCGCGGACATTCGGCTCAACTACATGGATAAACACGGTGTTGGGTTCACCATTCTATCGTACACAGCACCTGGGATCCAGGACATCTGGGATCCGAAGGAAGCACAGCTGTTGGCCAAAGAGATCAATGATTACATTGCTCCCGAGGTTAAGAAACACCCTGAACGTTTCGGCGCGTTTGCGTGAGTCATCCGTCTTTAGAAAGCACTTGAACTATTCTGTGGCTAACGTGTGCCAGAACCCTTTCTATGCATGACCCCAAGGAAGCTGCCGAAGAGTTAAGGCGTTGTGTAACTGAGTACGGCTTTTTGGGCGCGCTTGTCAATGACACTCAGCGGGCAGGCCCTGATGGCGACGACATGATCTTCTACGACGGCCCGGAGTGGGATGTTTTCTGGTCTACAGTGACCGAACTTGATGTTCCTTTCTACCTGCACCCAAGAAATCCCACCGGAACGATTCACGAAAAGCTATGGGCAAAGCGCTCGTGGCTCATTGGACCTCCATTGAGCTTTTCGCAGGGAGTCAGTCTGCACGTCCTTGGAATGGTCACAAATGGCGTTTTCGATCGCCATCCCAAGCTTCAAATTATATTGGGCCATCTAGGAGAGAAGATACCATTCGACATGTGGCGCATCAACCACTGGTTTGAGGACGTGAAGAAGCCGCTGGGGCTGTCTTGCAAGCGAACTATCCGCGAGTACTTTGCAAGCAATCTGTGGATCACGACCAGTGGGCATTTTTCCACCACGACTCTTCAGTTCTGCATGGCTGAAGTAGGAGCGGATCGCATATTGTTTTCGATTGACTACCCTTTCGAGTCCTTCTCGGATGGATGCGATTGGTATGATGCTCTTCCCATCAATGATAACGACAAGAAGAAGATTGGGCGGGACAACGCCAAGCAACTGTTCAAGCTGCCGGGATTCAAGGACAGTGAGGCGTAAAGCCAATACTCAAATGAAGCTTTGTAGGTGAGACTAGACATGGACGTAAAGGCGAGGGAGTGGATACAGCGTCGCTTTGCAAGCGGCCTATCAATCACAATTGATAATTTCAAAATACCAGATACGATTCTGTAGTATGCATTCGTGTGTGATAGCGGGCCACTGGTAGGCATTCTGTGATTCGTAACTTCACTATTGACTGGCTACATTATTATCATTTGCCCATGGATGTAGCAAGAGTCACGAAGAATCAATTCTCGCGCATAAGAGCATCAAGCAGACTCGAGATTAAGTACTTAAGAATAGCATGATTAATGAGTGTGGAAGATTGCCGGAACAGCTACTGCTATCCGAGAGACTATTCGCGTGCGTGAGACATCGTACGGCGACCTTGAAGTCATAGCTTATCAGGGCTGGTTTGTGAGGCAGCTGATCAGCAATTACTAACTAATTCTCGTTGTGCTAACATCGGAAGCCATTTAGGAACTTCCGAATGCGGCACTGTGAGCGGGGGTGGGGACGCGGGGTTCGGGGTGCAGGGTCCGGGAGCCGGCAACCGATGTGCCTACTGCAGTAAGAAACTCTCTCTTATCAGGTGATCCACACCACTGAGCAGCCCTGTTGACTTGGACTGACCGACGTCTGATCGTTTGTAGGAAGGCTTACGCATCTCCATCGCTCCACGAAAATCCTCAAGCTTCTCGTGCTCCTCACATCATGCCTCGCCCCAAAGTCCCCGAGAGCCAGCGTCAGCGTGCTGCTGAGGCCTGTAAGTTCTGCCGCGAGGCCAAGAAGAAGTGCAGCGGCACTGCACCTTGCACTCAATGTGTTCGACGTGGTCTTGAACCCGACTGTCGCATGACGTATCTACCCAGAGGTTCAAGAACGATAAGGCCCTCAATTACAAGGGCTAGTACTGCTGGTGGGCGAAGATCACGCGCATCCTTCGAGCACGGTTCTATCACAGTGTCAACAGCCGCTTCCGGGTCATCAAAAACTCGTCCGCGACGGCATATTGAGATTGACAAGGAACCGTCTCCAAACCCATTCCCAATGTCTCCTTCAGTTTCTCAACAAGAATCCGAAGAACCCTGTGTTGATGCGCATCAAAGTCCCATGACACCTCCTCGAGAATCACACACCAGAGAGGGTACTCAGCCAGAATCCTCTCTCCTGGCCAATCCAAGTAGATTACTCCGGAGTGCCCACGGTGAACAAGGTAGGTAGTTATCGGGCGGTTTATTCAACCTACTATCGCGCCACTGAGATTGCTGACTTTAAACGTACACATAAAAGTATTCGTTGGAGGCGCTGCAGCAATTTCGTTCCTTCAAACCGTTCGACAAGTGGTGGTGAGACAGATTGGCCCCTCACCTTTCTCTCACAATGATGGAATGGAAACGATGCTCGAGGCCGCGTCTCCGGAGGCAAGGCGGTCGATCTCATCAGATGAGGTCGTGGACTTGGGCGATCAGCAACGACTCGATTACTTGAAATGTTACTATACAATCGTAAGAGAACTTCCCTGCTCAAATCTGATTGTAACTAAGTATTATCTTGCCACAGACGGAAGGTCTCATCAATATTCTAGACTCTGACGATCAAAGGGAGTTAATGTGCTTAACCGACAGCATCTCTATCGGAGTTACATCACTCTTTGACGAAAATGCTTCCGCTGACAAGGCGGCTTGGCCATCAAAACAATCATCGCACCTCTCAGATGCTATCAGGGACATGGTAATGGCAATAGGAGCACAGTGTAGCAGCGCACTAGAAGCTCAAGATCACAGCTTCACATTCTTTCGCAAAGCACAGCGACAAGCATTCTCTGGACTGCTAGAAGATCCAGACTTAGACATGGTCAGACTTTTCTTACTCATGGCGTTCTATATGCTTGGGAATTGCCGCAGGAATACAGCGTATATGTACATATCCATTGCTGTAAGGGCTGCTCTTGCACTTGGCCTTCACAGTCAGACTATGTATACGTGTGAGCCGAAGTCCCATCAGTGTGGACTTTTGAAGTAAGTCATCCCAAACCGAAACACCTCTTTAAAAATTAGTCGTATCTCGCTCACAGTTGCATCGATTTAAAAGATCAAGAGTCTGGATCAGTGTGCGAATTCTAGACAAGCTAGTGAGCTCTCTCTTGGGCCGGCCTGCCGCCACGGCAGGAACGGATGCTAGGCCTCTGATCAGAGATTTGGCACCCGATTGCGACTATGGATCGAAATATCTTGTGGCAACGTGTGAGATTGTTGAAATCATCAATGATATCAACAACATCTTATATCACGGTAAAGATGTCACGGTTCCCGTCGTGGAACAGCTTCTGGTCAATATAGATAGCTGGAAAAAGAATCTGCTCATGCCCTTGGAAGGCCCGGAAGAGCCTGAAGCTCTGGGAGACTTCATCGAAGCCAACCGAATGGCCGTTGCCAAGATCCATGTATCTTGTCTGTATTATTTTGCTGTCACACTAGCAACTCGGCCGATATTCATCTCCTCCCTCAACAGCCAAGCAGGAAACAAGATTCATCACCCGCCGCTAGCCGCGGCGTGCATCGAAGCTGCCGTGTATCTGGCACAAACTTGTGCTGACGCTCGAAAGGCTGGGCTACTCGAGAGAAGCATGTGTATCCTGAAGTAAGATTCAACCGGTTTGGTTTCAGCATCTGTGCTCTTTCTGCAAGGTTCGCTCTGAGAAAACGCTAATCATCCCACACAGAGCTTTAGTATTCTCTGCAGGACTCATTCTCGGAGTGGAGTGCTTCGCAAAGGTCAGCATCGATCTCGAGACCGATAGAGCATTTCAAGGAGCCATGGACGTTTTAAAATTTCTTGCTGGCCAAAGCCCCCAGGCCGCACATTACCTGGAAATATTGATGTCGTTGGCTACCGCCATCACAGAGCGTCGCTCAAAGTTGAATAATGCTGGAGGCAGTCGTTACGTCTCAAGGCTCTTCAGCTTGGAGAGCCTAAGCAGTGTCAGCGATGGCAACCCGGAGGGACATACGGAGGAGGAGCCATCCTGGGCCTCAACTCGGGCTGTAACTGAACAAGGCTCTTTTGACGTTTGGCCTGGGGCTGACGGGGGGTTGTTAAACTGGAGTGAGCTCCAGTTTGACGATAGCGATCTGCACATTGACTGGCAAAGCTTAAGTGTATTTTGAGACAGCTATGCACAGATTTCTCGACAAAAGGGAAATGCCAGATCGGCAATGGTCAGAAGCTGTAGACGTTCAAGCCGTCATAATACCAGACTAAAGTTGCCCAGAAAAAGAAGAAAACAGAACAACTCCCTCACAACATTGGACTATGGGAACTTGCATCCGAAGAGACCCTGATTGAACTGTGTGTTCTTACCAACAGTATAGCGGAGAAAATACAAACTATTGAAATGTGATGTGGTGACTTGGTATAGACGTGCGCCGCCAAGGGAATTGGAATCTGGTTTGGGAAGCTAGCTTCTCAGGCACACATCTTGCGGGAACCAAGATCTAATTTGCTACTCTCCATCAAATGCTTATTGCTTCAAAGTCTTGACTGTCAAGCCATGTTGCGGTTTCGTGCATTGCTGGTCATGATGAGTCGTCGAGGCTCAAGATCACTGAGTAACGCGATCTAGACAGTTAAATGCGTGTGTAGATACGACAGCTATAAGCCTCCTGCTCCATTGTTCTTTTAGACATCCTTGCTATTATTCCGAATCCAACATCCTGAGAAGCCAACCCTGACCAGCGTTGCCTCAGTTCGGTTTGATCCGTAGATATCCTTAAGAAAGTCGGCACAATGCTCCGTGTGGAACGAGTTAACAATTATGCCATCAAATGCGGTTCGTTCTTCGAAAAGGGTCCAGAATTGCTTTTTCCAAAGCATCGAACAATGGTTTAAATGGTCACGAATTGAAGTATAATAGACTTCTTGATCACCCATTGCTTCTGCGGCTATGGGCTGCGTTAAGTTTTGACTGTAAGAGAGTATGCGTTAGTATGGACGTAATTCACAGTGGCTTGAGTAAGCATTCATTGACATACTCCGCGAAGGCATTCCAGCTATCGTCATCTTTGTATTCCGTTTCGAACTCTCTGTCGTAGCATTGTGATGGAACCCAATAATTCAGCAGGGTATCGTACTTGCAACCCATCTTCTTCGCCTCGGCTGTGGAATTTCCGCAAGAGATATATTCGGCGTTGGAAGTGACATTATGGAAAGCCGCGATGTAGTCACTCGATGTTGGAGTTCGGATTCCCCCATCTTCTCCATCGGTGACCTTGCCGCCCGTGTTCTGGGCCATAGGACTGGGCACTAGAAGGTAGAATGCTGCGACCCATAGAACAGATGTCGCGAGGAATACGAGGACGTCTCGAAGAAGCCTGCCATGGTGTGATGTTCTCAGAGCTTGTTGTTGGCGGCGGGAGCTGTCATTCTCCATCTCGTCTTCGGTGGAAGTTCGCTTGTTAGGGTCGTCCCGAAAGCCTAAGAAAGGCTCATGGTCCTCCTGTTTTGACTCCATCGTGGCTTGTTCTGAGGACTTATGGGGCACTTTTCAGGCTCTCGATAGCGGCCGCTTCGTCGTCGTACCTTCGTGATCGCTGATGATGTAGAGGTTAGGGGAAAAGAGAATGAAGTTCTCGCGAGATTTGAGCCTACCTTAGACTGCAAAACATCCCAGGGGTTCTCTCATCGTCGTGCGTTTCATAAGCTCGAAACAACGGATAACATAGCCACCTCTGTTTCAGGCCCATCCAGACATTGGTGAATTTAGCGCTCGTCCCATGTTGGCACCATACATGCAATTTGGTCAACGACAAGGTCTGAGCTCGACCGCGTGCGAAACATCAATGAGACGCATGTATCGAGGCACAGAATATTTCTTAGTTCTAGTGTAAAGCGGTCTGGCAAAATTGGTGAGACCCCAGAGATTTGAACCATCTGCTCTCCTAATGCGTCCTGAGCTCGCACTTAAGTCATTTACGGGCGTTGCTCACACTCATAAGAGACTCCACCACCGCAGCTACCGCACCAATCCCAGTGAGAATGCCAGGGTGACCATATATTGGTCGCGATCCCCGTGCCATCTCTCTACTGTAATTACCAACACCAACGTTGCCATTTATGTAGAGGCGGTGAAGTTGTGTCGAAAAAGTAGTTTTCTTTCGAATCGCACTACATCGCCGTATCTAGTTGTAACATCAAACTTGATTTCGTCGACTCATTAATTGAGTGGTGCGGACTCATTGCAGCTTGTAGACATGGCGAGTGCGCACGCATTAGCTGTTCGCATACAAGACATATTACATAGGTACGGCTAGCTGAAGCCATTCACAATACTTTCACTGTGCTGAAGGCATTGATGATATCATTGGCCCCCGAAATATCCACAGCGCCAATCGACCTTAGGTGATCGACACAGGCATCTTGACATGCACTACCATGGCCAGTGCATACATTCGTCACAATGCAAAAATCAGGTATCTTTCCCCAGTCTCCTGAGCGGCACAAAGTGCAAAATGCACGTATCAAGACGTCCTTTATGCGACCGCCTCGTATCCAGAGCGAGAGTTGTGGGCAGCGCGGTTCGAGAACAGCCAGTAGATGACCATGCCGACGATGGGGAAAAGGAAGACGACGAGGCACCAGAGCACCTTGTGACTGACGGGTCGATCAGACTTGAGAACCTCAACTAAGCGGACGGAACTGTTAGCAAAGATAACATAGCTGTATGGAAACAACGGAGTATTTGGCCGTCGATGACGCTGTTTTGAGGGAGACTCACGGAACACGATAATATCCAGTACAAGGACTATGAATCCGAGGATGCCACCACCAGTGCCATACTGCCAGGTATTGCCGTGAGCTGCTGTGCCAACAGCGGGATCGGATGCCGGCGCGGCGACAGCCAAAAGCGCGAAGCAGAGCTGAAGGAGAAACTGGGCGAATACGGCGTTACGCATCGTGATTTCGTTCGTTGTCGAGAGGGTGGTAAATGTGATCAAAATTGAGAGCTTTCTGGTATGGAGGGACGTGACTCGGATTGATAGGTATTGTGATGAGCAGTGGGGTGGATGTGGGCAATAGGTAGAAGGATGTCGCAACTGATTATTCACGTGGGGAAAGCAGTTGCATTAATATTCACAACACAGCAATAGAGGTGACGTCACATGTTCGTGTCGTCTGACCAAGCTGTGCTTTGCGCTACGCCCAGACTGGTCCATCGAGATCTTGCGGAACTTTGGCGGGGTTAATGATAGGCTGAATATGCTCTGCTGACCCCTCAACGGCGGGCAAAGACAGCAAGCCACAGTAGCTTACATGTGCCTATGGCATTTTGTCTCGAATTTCTCAAAGCGGATGGTGTTCTTCGAATCAAGCTCAGGCTCGCTGATTGGCTTTCCTCTGCTCCGAAGGGCATGCTCCGAAGGTTTAGTCGCGGCCCAACCCCCCGCTAGGTTGGGGCAACCCGCAAGGTGTACACGCAGTTCGTCGGAGATTGATATCCGTATTGATTGTTGTTGACAGAAGTTTCGCATTCATTGAGCTTCTTGGGACCGTGGGGGCTTGATCATATGTATGCTTGTAACGCGAATCTAGTCATGGCATTCCAGTCAGTTCAAAGACGTTTGAGATGAGCAGCTGTTCACCACAAAAGTACCTAGAGCATACCATGATTGGCAGTCTAGTCGTTCAGCAACTTCATAGACGATGAAAAGACCAGGAAGCTACGGACTTGGGCTTGAGGCATTCGTCATTGTTCATTGACTGCAGTCCAGGGCTTGTATGAATTCAATAGTGTTACAGTCTCAGAGGCCACTATGCAAATATCTCGCTATGTACGATACGAAACTAACAAACAGCCCTAGAGAAAAAGCTCGCGATGGATGGTACCGTGTACGATCGCGTTTGAAGCTGCAGCTAGCGAGCCAAGGTAATCGTTCTGCTGTGCCAATTGCATATCTTGGCTGGCATTGTATAGTTTCCCGCGATGAATGAGAAGGCCAGGTGCCTTGATGGGCGAGTGTTGACTTCGTGTGCTTGAAAATAGAATCAAACAATAGGAGCGGACAGACAAGGCTGAAGAGCTCGTCCCTTTCCCAGCTACCTAGTGTTCTGTACCGCCTAGCTGAACGATATCGCAGATGCAGATCAAACACATTGTGCCTGCAACTGTTTCCTAGTTTCGCGCCCTCCACAGCCCATGCAATGCCGTTGCTGACGGCCAGACTAGTCGCCTTATGTAGCGCAATGAGTCTTGTATACTTTTGCGGCTGGAAAATAATGAACTCTCATATGGTATTTCCGCCGTACATATCTTCAAAAACCCAGCGCTCTTCATGAGGAATAGTGCATTTCTCTGTTTAGAGGCGGAGGCCGCAAAACATCAGATCGGTACCATGGGGTGGGTATGCTGGATGATGTGAGAATATTGATGACGTAGCCTCTGTGTCACCACACATAAACCCAAGCTCACTGCCGATGCATCAGTGCGAATGGGGAATGGATTTTGTGCATGTGATTAGGTTTTCATAGAGCCTGGAACGCAAGGCCATTGCGTACCTCTTCCCTATGCACGAGTAAGAGCTATTCTGACTTCCTAACCTTTTGGACAGTTCCAAAAGCTCGACCGTGTTTCCTTCGCAGGCACTTTAGGAAAGCGATCATGCCTGGATTTCGAGATATCGAAGCAGCCAGCCGACGACACCGCAGAGCTTCTACCTCGAGGTCAAGGGAACAAGAAATGCTACAGCCCGCTTCCTCTTTAACTCTCCGATCCACGGCCGTCGGCATCATTGTTGGCTTCTTAATATGCCTATCCAACACGTATTTCGGACTTCGTACTGGTTTCTTAGCCATAATGAGCCTTCCTTCAACCATACTGGGCTTTGCCTTCTTCAAAATGGTCCAAGATCATTTAGCTTTCCCATTCACCCCCCAAGAACATGCGACAATGGTTGTTATTGCGAGCTCTTTGGGCTTGATGCCTTTCACGATCGGATCTGTCGGGATTTTGCCGGCCATGGAGTTCCTCACCAACGAATCGGAAAATGGCCCCTTCCGACTTGACTGGTCTCAACTTTGTGTTTGGTCCATTGGTGTCAGTATCCTGGGTGTTGCCGTGACCCTACCACTGCGAAAACGGTTTCTTGTCCAAGAGCCTTTGCCATTCCCATTTGGAACGTCGTCGGCGGCTATGATAGGATCATTACACCGGGATACTGACATTGCGGATCGAATTCTCCGCGCTCAGAATGATTTGGATAGCACTAACGACAAGCAAAAGCCATCACTTGTAGAAGACTCAGTTGATACTGACGATAGCCTTGTGCAACATGGTTGGAGCCAGAATAACAAACTCATTCTCATCACATTCTTGTTTGCGGCACTTTACGTGAGCGTCAATTTTCTTGGACCACCCTTTCGCCTCGCTGACATCAAATGCAGTCCCTCACTGCATATTTCATCCCTCAAATACGTACCGTAAATATCTTCGGCAACTATCTTGCTCGAGAATGGCTCTTTTCTCTCTCGACATCCCCAGGCTATATCTCCATTGGCTTGATTGTGCCTCCAGTCACAACCCTTTGGATCGTCGTTGGATGCTTGATTGGGTGGGGCATACTTTCACCTCTATCCAAATTCAACGGATGGGCCCCTGGCTCTGTCTCCGACTGGGAAAGCGGCTCAAGAGGTTGGATCATGTGGATAGCAGTTGCACTGATTTTAGGCGATACAGCCATCACTCTTTCGACAATGCTCCTGCGTTCCTTCAATGTCTATATGCCAAACTTGCTGGGCCTCACAACATACTTGAAAAGACATCTCCGATCCGACAACGAAGAGGATACACAGCCTCTGATCAGAAGTTCATCAAGGTCTAAAGCACTGCCTCCCCTTGGGTCTTTACACTACCGGGATGACAAATTAACCACCAAAGTCTATCTGATCTGGATACTAGCCGGCCTACTTTTATGCTTCGCTTCTATGATCGTCCTTTTTGGGTCTTCAGTTCCAATATTAGCCTTACTGTTGGCAGTATTCACAATCTTACCGCTAAGTCATGTTAACATTCGCTGCTACGGAGAAACGGGGACTGGAGGGGCGGCCTATATTGGTATGTGGTATTTGCTCCAACTATCTGCGGTGATAATGGCTCTAACGCTTCGGGTATGTCATAGCTAAAATCCCGCAATTTCTGTTCGCCTTCCTGATACCTTCAACAAATCCAAACGCCATTTTACTCAGCTTAGCCGTTGCTGGTGTTGTTGAAGCAAGCGTCTGGCAAGCGGCAGAGATGATGGACGAGTTCAAGATGGGCCATCTTGTCAATGCGCCACCGATGTCTCTTTTCTATGGACAACTGATTGGATCGTTGGTTGGATCCGCGATATCGATGCTGGTCTACCGGCTTTACACCAACATGCTCGGCTTTCCGTCCAAAGACTTTCCCATGCCATCGGCGCACATCTTGATTTCAACAGCTCGGCTAGTATATGGCCGAGGCATGCCGCCTGGGCTACTCAAATTTGGCATAGTTGCATCGGTTTTGGGTGCTATATTCAAGATACTCAAAGATTCTAAGCGTCTTAGTAGTCGCTGGTCTCCTTGGGTACCATCCAGTGTTGCGTTAGCTGCAGGTACGTCAAGCTGTGAAGACTAAGTGGATCCCAATTCTAACTGAGAGCACAGGCATGTATATTATGCCTGAAATGATTTTGGCGCAAGGAATTGGAGGTCTGATTCATTATTATATCCTTGGGCGCTGGGGTCGAGAAAAGGAATCGCGCCTCATTTCCACGGCTACAGGCTTCATACTTGGTGAAGGCTTGTTCAGCTTAGTTACCATGATCCTGCAGAGCATTGACGCGCCACATTTATAATACGTTGCGTTCCGGGATGACTATAAATCGAAACTAGCTAGATCTAACAGGCTGCCATAATGAAACGCCAAAGAGTGCCGAGACACGTTGTGGAACAAGATTTGCCAATGCGTGTTCCATGTAGATAACGAACTTTCTTTTATTAATTAGTATAGAGCCTCATTACTGTGTTGGCAGCAACTTTTCATGAAGACTTTTAAGCGATAGCTTTCCTCAGAGTGTCCATGAACTTCCATACATCCTGGAATGTGCAATACAGGGGCACCGGCGCGACACGGATAACTCCTGGCTTGCGTTTATCACAAACGATTCCTTCCTCAACGAAAGCTTCCACGACATGTTCGAGTAGGCCGTCCTTGAGCAGGACACTCAGCTGAGCACCTCTCTCGTGGGCATTCCTAGGCGTAAGAACCCTGAATGAAGGTTCGTCGGTATCGTCTGCCAAGATGCCATCAAGAAGATGCTCCGCGTACGCAGTAAGCACCAAAGACTTTGTTCGCAATTCAGCCATGGAGGTCTTGCTGAATACCGAGAGGGCACCCGATAGCGAGGCGAGATCGATGGCTGAGGGATTTGAAACTTGGAAACCACCAGCGCCAACGGTAGGGAGGAAGTTGTTGTCCATATTGAAGCGGACCGACTTGTCACCGCCGTACCAGCCCGTTAGTCTGTGGCGAAACTTGGGCTTCCCCTCGCTGGTGTCGACCTTTCCGTGTCTTTCGTGGACAAATGCGCCAGCCATTGACCCTGGTCCAGCATTCTGGTACTTGTATGTACACCATGCCGCGAAGTCAACATTCCAGTCGTGAAGCCGTAACTCGACGTTTCCAGCAGCATGAGCCAAGTCCCAACCGACAATAATGCCCTTAGACTGCGCGTATTCGGTAATCCGAGGCATGTCGAAAAGTTGGCCACTGTAGTATTGTATACCGGGAAGTAAAATGAGGGCAGTCTCCTCCGCATGTTCATCAATGGTCTTCAGAATGAGATCAGTTGAGATGTAAAAGTTCTCATCGGGCTGGATCTGGACCATCGACTTGGACGGATCCAATCCATGCCACTGAATCTGCGATTCGATCACATACTGTCTTTGTCAGCTCGGTATACGAATTGTATGTGATGACAGTCGACTCACGTGATCACTCGGAAATGGCCGCCATTCAAGGATAATTTTATGCTTCTTCTCTGTCGGTCGGTAGAAGCTGGCCATCAAAAAGTGCAGGTTTGCGGTCAAGGTATTCATCATAACAACCTCTTCGGGGAGGGCGCCGACAATGGCTGCGCTTTTCTTCGCCACGTCCTCAGCCATGTCTTGCCAGCAAACAAGGGGTGAGTTTTCGAGGCCCTGGAAGTGGCCATTCACCCCAATCGATGCCCAGGTCTCCAACTGAGCGTGAATGTAGTCCTTGACTGCTTTGGGTGGAACTCCCAGTGAGTTACCACAAAAGTAGACTGATGGAGTCGCATCATCTTCGGACGATGAATGACTTCCATTGGTGCCATTGACCACATTTGCATTGCCGTTGAGAAGTTGATTGTCTTTGGGGTAATCAGTACTGGATCTGGGATGATTGCTGTGCCACAGATTTTGTGTCACTAATTTTTGGCAGGACCTACTAGGGAGAGTTCCGGTCAAAGACTTTTTTTTGAGAGAGCCTTTCGTCGGAATGATGAACTCATTGCGCAAATACGCGAGTTTGTCTTGCGCGTCGAGCTGCTGCGCAAACGAGATGGTGTTTGCGTTGGCAGGAAACTTGGCCTGGCTCCCAGAACGAATCTGCTCGGCAAATGCGTTGAAATCCATCTTAGATCGTACGACAATTTATGTCAACTTTTCTGAATGATTCGGATTCTCTCAGATATGGCACCATTCGAGGCAGAATGAGGGCGTCTTGTTCGTCTTTGTACCTGTCCCCTCCTCATCTTACTCGAGATGGCGCATCGTCATTCCGAAAACTTCGCGAGCGGCCCCACCAACATCCGGTATCCGCTTCCGTCTCAGCCCTAGCGCTTCCGCATATAAGCGACGGGTTTCGGCTTGGTCCACTTATACCATCGGATGACAAGCGTGTCAGTGCAAGATGCATACGGAATACCGAGTAAGTACGGATACAGGTTGGCAAGCAACACGGAGACAGGGGACTTGAGACATGCAGTTGAAGAGCTACTTCTTCATCTTACCACACCCTGACTCGCATCGAACTGTTTTCTGTTCCATGCACATTAAACTCAATCAATCTCTTCTAACCCCTTTCTCTCCACGTATCGAGTTCATCATAGTACGGCTATTTCGTTGTGTTATCGACGTCTAAACTCCGTTAATATGTCTCCTCACGCGCTTCCTATGTTCGCAGAACAGGCACAGACAGATGTCCTTGCTTTGATGAAGAAGTACTCCATCACACAGAACGGTTTCCTGCCGGCCGACGCACCTGTCAAGGTTCTTCCGGATCCTTACTACTCACCATGGGAAACAATTGTCCATCATCTCCCGGAGCTTCTCAAAGCAGGCAAGCTGCGACGAGATGTCAAAGGTCTTCCTCTCTTATCGACGAACAAGCTACGCAGTCAATCTGAGTGGAGAAGAGCTTATGTGATTTTGATCTTTCTGGCGCATGCCTACATCTGGGGCGGAGAACAGGCAGAACAGGTTGGTACTCCGTCTGACTTTTCCAAGGGCTTTCTAACGTCAGTTCAAGGTCCTGCCTCCAGCAATAGCTGTCCCTCTCTTACGCGTCTCCGAGCATCTCGAAGTTCCGCCTGTCGCGACCTACGCAGGCTTGAACTTGTGGAACTTCTTATCGACCACGAACGATTTCACTGATCTGGATTCTCTTGAGTCTCTACACACTTTTACTGGCACAAAAGACGAAGCTTGGTTTTACTTAGTCTCAGTGGCCATGGAGGCCCAAGGCGCTCGAATTATGACCGACATGCTAAATGCTTTGGAGTCCATCAAGACAAGGCACTACGACACAATCACGCGGGCACTAGAAGCACTGTCTGGCAATATTCGACAGATCGGGGCTTTACTGGAAAGGATGTATGAGAAATGCGACCCGATGGTATTCTTCTACGAGATTCGTCCATTTCTGGCCGGAAGTAAAAACATGGCAGCAGCAGGCCTACCTAAAGGTGTCTTTTACGACGAAGGCAATGGTCAGGGTAGTTGGCAACAACTCCGTGGGGGAAGCAACGGACAAAGCTCTCTGATCCAATTTCTCGACATTGTTCTGGGGGTTGAGCACACATCAGAGGGCAACAGCAACCCACATGCAAGCAAGACCAGCACCAGCCAAACACGAATGCCCGCTTTTCACGAGGAAGTCCGCACTTACATGCCAGGGCCACACAAACGTTTCCTCGAACACGTTGCCCGCATGGGCAGCATCCGAGAGCTTGCAAAACTACCGGTTTCGACTGTCGAGCAGCAAGACTTCTGCAATGCATACCAAGCAGCAATTCGAACGATGACAGAGTTTCGGAACAAGCATTTGCAAATTGTTACCCGCTATATCGTGCTTCCTTCGAAGAAGATGCACAGTGGCGTGAAAGTAGACTTGGCAAGCGCATCTTCAGTGAAGGACGAGCAGCTCACGGGAACAGGCGGAACAGCATTGATGCCATTCCTGAAGCAAACAAGAGACGAGACTCTGCAGGCGGGACAGTTAGAGAGAGCAGAGCGGAGATGAACATTTGATGCGTCGATCTATGATATCCATAACAGTATAGCCATCGAAAAGGAGCGAAATTACATAATTCAGTGCTAGACTAATGCAAGGGGATTGAAGAGTCAAACTTCCGCATGTAACCTCAATGCTCCATTCACATGAAGCCGGGTCCACAAATTGGGAAAGTTCCATCTGTATGACCGCTGTGGCCCCTTCTCAGGTGACGGGAGCGGAAGAATGACTTCGGATCTCGGATCGCATCGCAGCTGAGCGAATAAAAAACACTAGCCATCGCAGCGGCGACGAATTTCCTGATGCTGACATGCATTTACTTCTGTTACTTCCGAAAATGTCGGTGGAAGTCTACTGTTCCCTAAACGTGCTTCTTCGATTGGAATATTCAATCCAGGCTTGCATTTTGCTTTTATCTGATAATGGTAAGATGGGGGTAGAAAATGCCCAGCCTCGACCAGAACTTTCATTTGGCCATCATACCAAGCTGCCGCTTGCCGCAGTTTGATATCCCTCATGCCTTGGACTTCCCTAAACTCCACACTATAGGCGGAGTAATCGTAGTGAACCATCGTAGGGGGAAAGTAGAGAGAATGGTTAGTTAAAGGATGTTTCACCAGGAATTACTAAACATGACTGTACGGAGGAGGGGGAATACTGCCAGTCCAACAGAATATTCCGAAAAGCGAGGTTTTCGACTAATTCGGAGCCAAGCAGTGAAGTGAAAACACTCTCCAGGCAGGCATGTACGTCATCGTATTACAAGTCACGCCTGATCCACTGCAGAGTGGTGATTAGGGTAGTTTTCAACTTTCTGTGTACGATGTCCTCCTAGGATCGGAAGTGTGATGACGAGGCACCAGGTCAAGTGAGTACACTAAGGCTCCTCCTGGACGTTAGAAGTGGCTCTGTGGTGGCTAGGAGCGGCTCCAACAAATCGTGTCTACACCGTGCATCCGTCAACGTGTATATGATCGGAAGTACTGTATCATGTGCCCTGGCAATGACAGATGTTTACCCAAGCACGGCTAGCGTCGAGCAAGTTCCGCCCTCGGAAACCTTCCACGTCGGCACTGACTGGTTTCCTCCCTCCGCGTCCCGATCTTCGCTCTTCCGCATGTCTGCCTGCACAATAGCGAAGTAATTACGGCTGTAACACTATGGAAGATGTTTCAGGGCAAGAATCATCGCCACACGCGTATGTCCGCACAAGAGTCGCCAACGCTTGCGACAGCTGCAAGGCTCGCAAAGGTACAATTCCCATTTCGTCTCCGGATGTCTCTCACGAGCCAATTTGCTTTTGAATTTGAGCATTGTTGTGTCTACTACAGGTAGTCAGCTGAATGTGCGCGCTCCTGGCCCACAAACAGTCTCAGCGCGCACTTGCATGCTGTGTTTCGTGAATTATTATCTGAATTCTGTTTTAACCATTCCGTGTAACAGTCAAATGCGATGGCAAGTTGCCATGCAGCTACTGCTTGAGACGGCAACGTCCTTCCACGTGTCGATATTCTCCGCAACAGAGGCGAAGGGCTCCGGCGCCCCTTCTGAGAACGCCGTCTCCATCTGTGCACAATGGCCCAGATGTTCAGTCCGAGACCCGGCAATCAGTCACGTCACACGAGGCCCTCGCCGAAGAAGAGACAGAAGTCCCCCGAGAAGCACGTCTTTTGTGCGACGCCCAGGGGAAAATAAGTGCGTCCATCCCAAACAGATACATACCTAATTCCCCAACTGATGTGTTGTAATTATGTCATCAAGTCTTCATTGGAGATTGTGCGCCGTTGTCATTCTTCCAAACTGTCCGGCAATTGGTGAACACACGCGTTGATCCGCAAGTCTTTGCGCACCAGACTGAAAATCCACCTTTTCGACCGCCGGTTCATCATTCCGGAAATGGCGAGCCCATTCTCCAACTTACGACAATATCGGGTGCCGTTCTAAGGTACCATGAAGTGGTGAGACCTCCTCCTTATTTGGCTACGGTGTGCTCAACTTTGATAACCAATCCTACGTAATCTCACAGACCAGTGGTCTAGTTGATCTGTTTGGACATGCGCAGCTCGTCAGCGAAATCAAGTCTTGGGCTCGTCAGAACCATAGACTACAAGACGCAGTATCCGCCACTCATTATCTCGTTCTTGCCATAGGCTACCAGTCTTCCGAGGAAGACCTTGCATCTTCCTACTTTGAATATGCGCGCAACATCGCCCTTGCAAATCTCAGCGGGAACATCAATGTCCCAACCATTCAGACGTTCATTCTAGTTACTGTCTATATGCTCGGTTCATGTCAGATGAATGGGGCATTCCTATTCTTCGGTATGTCACCAGGAGAACTATCAGTCATAACAGTACTTAGAGTGGTTCATACTCATCACAAGGCAAACTTGCAGGCATCGCAGTGAGAGCAGCTTACTCGATTGGGATCCACCGCACCGAGATCAACTCTCGATTTGGTGCGGATGTTCATAGACAGCGGTAGAAACCCCCTTCGTTACCCTGTCACTAACACAAACTGCTAATGCTCATACTTGGTAGGGATCGCCTGTGGAAGAGCCTGCGTGTCTTGGATCTCTTCTTAAGTACATCAATGGGCCGGCCACCTGCAACATCTGACGTGGATTGCACTGTACCCTACAGGGAGTTGGACGATAAGGGACAAGAAATCTTCGATCTACTCAATGCCTCAGCGCAAATATTCTTGATCACTGAAGGCATCGTCGTAGAGGTCTACTCGAGAAGGAAGGTTTCATATCAATTGACCGAGGGTATCTCACGACAGCTACGAGACTGGTCCATTCGGTGGTTACAGAGGCTAAAGGACACTGTTTCCGACACTCGATCTGACCATGAAGGAAAAAAGGTGACAGGAGCATGCCAAGTCCTTTGTTCCTACTACTACGGTCAGTTTCCCTGGCGACTTTCCGTCCAGCACTACGATCCAAAGCGATGATACTGATGTTATACAGCGGTAATCTTAGTCTCACGACCTTTCCTAATGTATGAATTGCACAAGCGACTAGCCGACGGGGTTGCCGAGACACCAACGACAACTTCAGGTCTGACTTCTGGCAAGTCGAAACTTGCTGATGCGTGTATCGATGCCGCAAGCTTCATGGTCGACATTTTAGTCGGCCTAGTCGAGAAAGGGGTTCTAATAGGGCACATGCCTTTAGTCGTGTGAGTGATCATATCGATGCAGTGATTTCGAACCTGGCTTATTCATTTCTGTAGCTCTTGGTTATTTGCTTCATCTCTTATCTTGGGCGTGGGCCTCCTCGGATCCTTTGGCCGCATTTTGGAAAAGTACACGCGAAATTCTATATTGGTACTAGAACATTTTGCGAAAATCGATGCCCACGCCTCACAATACTCGCTCATTGCAAAGTCATTACTCAACGCTGCTCTTGAGTATTTGGAAAAGAAGGAACTCAGAGAGCGTATGCAGCGTACTGAAAGCTCGTCACAGCTTTTCGGGCTTGTCCCGCGAGAAAGCACTGAAAGCATCCACAACATCCAAGCTTCAGCTACTGAGGCCAGTCCGAATACAAGCACGGATGGAAGCCTCCTGTCGAAGACAAATAACTCCGCCTCTGGCTTTTTTGGACTTGGTTCGCCATCTTTTGTGGACGTAGACGCGTCCCTCTTAAGCCTTTCATCCTCCTTACCCAGAACGCCGGATTTATCTATGCTTGATGGAAGAAACGAGATGGACCATGGGTTTGGGGATCTGAACTTGTTCCAGCTCCTCGACGGCGACGGACACATTGATCTTGGACCTTATATCTAATAAAATTATCATTGGAAAGCTCTTCCGAATTTTACTTGAGATTTCGTGGGGCGTTGGAAATCTTGGTACAAAGGCTGGGGCCAAAAGAAGATATTGTTCAAAGGTTATTCTTTTCTATCGTTCTGGAGCGCTCTGATTCAACGTGACTCTTGACAGCCTGACTGCCGTCTCAAGAAGAAGGCAAGACAGTAATAAATCTAGTTGGCCCGATTGAAGACTTGCACATACGGACTAATATGACCCCGAAGAACTTACTCCTACTGGCTCGGCTTCTTCCAGCGGCTGATTTTGCCTCGCTCCACACCTCTACAATAGTATGGGATGGATACGGACACTCTATTTGGTATCAACGGCCAACAGGAGTCACATACATGTAAATGTAGAATATCCGTACGCTACCTTAAGCTAGCTTGCACATCCTAACTTAACGCACCACAATCTGAGGACACCATATGTTTCGCAAGCTACCTCCAAGTTCGAGTTGAGATGCATGATATCGGGATACCTTCACCTCATTGCACCAGACGTGTCTGAAATTGAATTCACTGTGTCACTAGGAGGAGCGACGTCTAGCAGCACGCTTTGATTCATAGAATTGTTAGCGCACACCGTGGAACAGTGCCATTGAAGTCGCTAGCTTTCTCTTGCTGCACGAGATACAGCGCAAAACTTTTCACAGAGGCCTGGGTGGATTGCACGCTTGGTGGCTTGATTCACTTGATGGGTTACGAAAAGAGTCTCTTTAGGAATATCTCGCCTAACGGGGACGTGCTCCTCCTTCTGGATGGATCCCTTGACCAATGTTTGGCCTAGGCACAATTTGGTAGCGTTACGTAGTACTTGGTGGCAGCTTAGCTGGAGGGCTTTGACGCCTGACAAATACGTGTTAACCACAGCTGCAGGGGCGCTACAGCCGAGCAAGCCGCTCGGTTCCGTTCCTAGGCATTGGCCTCGATTTAAACTTCGTCACCCTTTCCGACTGGCGTCCCACAACGAGAGTCTGCGCAACTTCCCACTCATGTTGATGCCACCGTCAGTTGTGCTGCAGTGTGATGGATGAGCGCATCGGCTTCTGAAAAACGTACCCAAAAAAGCGCTCACAACGGGACATCTCGCATGTCTTTCAATTCCTGGTCGGCCCCCAATCGCCCCCCCTGTACATATTACCCGTTCCCGCTATCGACAGAAAAGATTGAGCGAGACTCCTGGTGCACATTTCGCGTATGTCGTCAGCTCACTCATTTCGCGAGATGTCGGCTCCTCCTCCGAATACCTCTTCTACAAAGCAGCCTCGGCCTCTAGCATGCATGCTATGCCAACGTCGAAAGGTCAAATGTGACCGGAAATACCCGTGCGCGAATTGTGTCAAGGTCTGTCTTAGGAAGTGTCAGCAACATATTGTAATGCTATGGATCTCTGTCTCCGAGGCTGAGGGGCTAGAGCTTCCGCATATCTATCGGACCACACATCTCTTTTGTTGTTATTGCTTCCTTGCTTGCTCTTGAACTTTTGCTGACCTCTATATTCTCCTACCTAGTCTAATACAACATGTAGTCCTAGCATTCCGGCACCAGTGCGAAAGCGTAGACGTCCTAATGCGGAGCTGCAAGCAAGGCTTGCTCGTTGTGAGGAGCTTTTGGCCCGATATGCAGCTGCAAGCAATGAGCCCCTGGAAGATAACGGCACAGTCGCTCCGCCACAGTCTTCCAGCATTCCCCAGTATGAGAACCACGAGGTCAACTGGAAACCCGCTGGCAAGCTTGTGACGGAAGGTGGTACTGTGCGTTTCATGGACAACTTCCTATGGGCCACCGTTTATGAAGAGGTACGACCTTTGGAATATCCATCGCCTGGCTGCGCTTCTTGCTAAGAAAGCAACACCTTTAGCTACGTGGGATGCGAAAACTTGTGGAACGCGAAGAGGATATCGCTGAGGCGGAACCGTCCGACTGGGACCCCGGAGCTTCAATGCCCGATTACAGCGAATATCTTCTTGTCGGCGGCAACTTGCCGTCTGAGAAACCTCATGATCTTTACCCCAACGCCGGTCAGATTTTCGGCTTATGGCAAATATTTCTCGAGAGAGTGAATTCTCTTACGAAAATCATACACCCTCCCACCTTGCAGCAGTCCGTGGCAGAAGCTGCCGCTGGTCCAGGGACCTTGCCACACAACATTGACGCTCTTCTCTTCGCCGTATACAGCATGTCCATCGTCTCCATGACTGATGATGAGTGCCTCGCAATGCTAGGCTCCACATGCAAAGCTGCCTTTTGGCGGTTTTCATCCGGAGTACGAGCAAGTCTGCTCCAGGCGCAGTTTCTTAAATCTCACGATCTGACAACACTCCAGGCATTAGTTTTGCACATTGTATGGCTACTTCTTCTTGCTCGTTCCTGACTGTCTTGCTAACTGTGTCCAAGATGTCAATACAGGGCAGGTGCAACATTCATGGAGCTTGGGTTTTGAACGGTATCTGTGTACGAATCGCCCAGAAAATGGGCCTCCACAGAGATGGGGAGCTTCTCGGCCTTCCACCTTTTGAAACTGAGATGAGGCGGCGGATTTGGTGGCAGATTTTCATGTTGGACTCCAAATTCTCCATGATATCAGGGCTGAGCCAATCACTGCTTCCTCGACCTAGCGACTGTAAACTTCCCAAAAACCTGAATGACGCGGACTTACATGCGGGTGCAACGGAGCGATATCAGGATCGCGAAGGCCCGACAGACATGGTAATTCCACTCTTGGTGTATCAAGTTGGCTTTTGCATTCAGCAGCAACAAGACATCGAATCGTTAATGCTCTACAACGAATTGAGCACCCTGAGCTCAGGAAGAAGAAGCAAAGTTCAGTCGGCACAAATGAGCGCCTTTATCAAGAATCTCGAGAGTCGGCTCAATGCTGTGATCGATAAGAACTCCGATCCTACGGCTGGTCCTGTCCACGAGTTGGCCAGCCTTCTGAAGTCTCTAATACTTCAAAAAGTTCAGGAAACGAGTCGCCCTCCCCAGGAACAACCAGAATGGGGATCGGAGATCACGACACCCAAAGATAACCTATTCAAATGGTCTGTCATGACCACCGAGCAGAACATTAACGCCTATAGGTCGAATAGACACCCCGAATTCCACTGGTTTCTCAAGTTGCTATTTCAGTATGACGTAGTAATTTTCATGATTGGCCAGCTTAGCCAGCGAATGACCGGGTCTATAGTCGAGCGGGCTTGGCAGCTAGTGCCGTCTCTTTACGAGTTTCATCCCGAGTTTTTAGACCCCTCCCAGGAGTACAACATCGCTCTTGCCAAGTTTACGATGAAGGCCTGGAAAAATCGTGATGGCTATCTCTCATGTCAACAAGGACTACGACCGGAAGAACCAGACTACATGAAGCGCATCAGACAGATGCTAGGATCCCCCTTGAACAAGTCTGCTGCTGAGACCGGGCTGCCAGTTCATGAAGATGCACCGAGAGCCGGGAGCCAAAATGGACAAGCATCTATAGAACAATTGCTTTCAACTTACCTCGGTGCAGCTGCAGCATGGGATTGTCTAGCGCACCCCGACGAAGAGCGCATTCAGACGCAGCTCCCCATGTTCGAGGATTTGGACATGACAGCACCAAGAAACTGGTAATTCTGTGGCTACAAAGCGCAAGTATAGAACCCACAGGCTGAGGTTTGCCACTGTAGCTACTTAACTACCCAAGTCAGGAGTCTTATTATGATTTCGAGTCTAGAGAGGCATAGCCCGTTTGTGGGTCTTTACATTAGTAAAAGGGGAGCACCGGTGTTACAAGCCAGTATACGCGTTTGCCACACTAGTCTATTCTACTACCAAGTCATATGCCTACAAGAGCTACCAGTATGTACTTAGTTTTGAGGCTTTATTTATAGAATGGTATTGTATTATAAACTCGATAAAGGATTAAGACCCTCGGACTTTACCGTTTGTGTTATATATAGAACGAGGCTCACTGTTTATATAGACCCTGACTTACCTACCCTAGGTAAGTCAAAGCACCTACTTATGGGCACCCCCCCCCTTTTGGGCACCCTAGTTTTGGTAGGGCTATACCAAAACCTACTACTTTATACTATATATATAACTAGCTTTACTTAATATATAAAAATATAAATAAAATTGATTTATATATATAATTAATTATATTTTCATATTATTATATTTATAATATTATATATTAGCTAATTATTACGTAATTATATTAAATATATAAGATTTTATAAATATATATATTACGGCTAGCTAGTCATAGTAAGTATATTAATTAAGTGCTAAAGGGTTAGGCTTAAAAAGAAAATTTAAAATTTATAAATCTTAAATACCCACTGCCTTAGCCAGCTTTTTACTTATTAATAGTAAGTAAAAAGATTTTAATCCTAAATACCTATATTAACTACCTAAACTAACCTTTTATTTACTATTAACGAGTTAAAGAATAATTTAGGATTTATAAACCCTAACTACTTACTACTTCTATTAACCTTTTATATATTATTAATAAAATAAAGAAATATTTAAGATTTATAAACCCTAAATACCCGGGCTAACTTTTTATTTACTATTAGCGAGTAAAAGAATTTAGTTATTAAATACCTTATTTAACTAGCTAAGCTAACCTTTTACTTACTATTAATAAGTAAAAGAAATTAAGTATTAAATACCTCGTTTAACTAGCTAAGCTAACCTTTTACTTAGTATTAGTAAGTAAAAGAATTTAGGTATTAAATACCTCGTTTAACTAGCCAAGCTAGCTTTTTATTTACTATTAATAAGTAAAAAAATTCTAAAATCTATAACCTAATTAACTAACTAAGCTAACCTTTTACTTATTATTAGCGAGTAAAAGAAGTTTAGAATTTATAACTTAGTTAATTTTAATTATATTTCCTATTCTAATCCCCTTAATAAATAAAAGTAATAATAAATCTATTACTTTTTATTTTAACTTTCCTTTTTAAATTTATTATAGAGCTTTTA